GGCTGCTGCTGGGAGGCCACCCAGGGACGGGTAGGAAGATCTGGACCACCCCCACCCCCCAGGCAAGGGGAAGACCCAACCAGTACAAGGCCCATCCAGCTGTCACAGGGTGACCACAGTCCACCCCGTGCAGGCAGGATCGTTTTACACGAACACACCAGGTGCACCTCAAAACTGTACTCTCTTGGCCAAAGCTTTGATGACCTTGCACCACATCTAGGGGTGCAGCTTTGCTGGGTACAGGGGACCAAACCCAGGGCCTCATGCATGCTGTGCACACACTGTGTCCCCAAGCTTCACCCCCAGCCCTCAGGTGCAGGTTCTAAACACGAGGACAGAAGGGACTGTTCCACTATCAGTGTGTGTGTGTGAGTGTGTGTGTGTGTGTGTGTGAGTGGGTGTGTATGTGTGTGTTCAATGGTAGAGACTGATCCCTCCCTTAGTTTGGATTCCTCGAGAAGACCTTGAGGCAAAGCAAGTTGTTTATGAGGGAGGGGACCCCAGGAGGTGACAGGATGCATGATCTAGCTGGCTGTCCCAGGAGGTGACTAGTTCCTCCCCCCTGCTGTGGAAACTGGGTGCTCATGTGGATCACGCTGCAGAGGGGCGAGGTGCTGGGTGTTTGTCCACCAGCTGCTGCTGGGCTGGTCACTGATGGAGGGCTGCTGGGAATCGGGAGGTCCATCTCCTGATACCCCGGGTCTGTGGCACTGGCGGGCCAGGAGACCTCTGGCCTCTGCACGTGTCCACGAGTGCAGCTGGTTTCAGCTGGCTGGCAGGCAGGGTGTGCTGAGGTGCTGAGGGTGGGGAGAGGGTGGACAAGGTGTTGGCTGGTCTACTGTCACCCCAGCCCAGCATCCGGCTGTTCCTCTGGGCGGATCTTCCCTCCTGGGACTACCAGCAGGTGGGTTGGGTGCTTCCTGTGAGTCTCCCGTGATGCTTGACATCTGGTGACTTACGGAAACTTGTGGGATGGCAGCAGCAGGCACAGGGTGGGAGATGGACCCAGGGGAGGGGAACTGGGACCCCCTCAGTCTGGCAAGTGTGAGGGAGATGGCCGGTGCTCAGCCCCCCCGCCATATCCTGGCTGTGCGAGGGTCCCCATGCTGTCTCACGGGTGGAGTGGAGGGAGGCACACCACCGTGCAGGTGTGAGCTCGGAGTTAAGGGGTCTCCTGGGTAAAGGAGCTGGTGGGTGGTTAGCCCACCCCAGGGGCCAGCTCCTGTCAGGACATAGTCATGACACCTGCGTGGGCGTCGTGAGGAAGGCCAGAGGGGGCGAGGCTGTCTGCCCACTCCCCACCTCGTGACTTCTTGAAGCAGGGCAGCTGCCATTTCAGAAGCCGAGTGACTCTAAGGATGGCTGTCTGCCTTCCTCCTAAAGAGAGACGGCAGGGCCTGGCTTCTGTCATTGTGGAAGCAAGTTTGTCCCTGGTGACAGGCCACCTCCCCGTCCTCGGCATGAGCTGCAGGCCGGGCCTCTGGGTTCCTGTGAGCTCCAAGTATGTAAGACTGAGATCTCTCAAGTGTGGGAACAGCTCGGATTGCTCATCTGCGCTCTGTGCTGTCACATCGGGGCTTCAGAGCTTGCTGCCCGTGCTGCTGGCAGGCGGGTGGTGGCTGTTCCTTCCTGTCACTGTGGGTTTGGCCCTGCAGTCCTGGCCGAGGACTCCTCTTGTGCCCCCTTATGATTAAGATGACTTTATTTATTTTATTTTTTTTACCTCTGCTTAGAGCAGTGTTGGGAGAATCATCTAGACCCTTTGGATAGATTTTTCTCTCTTTCCCCCATTACCCTTTGTTCTTTCTTCTTTTCTAGTTTGCTCAGTTTTTTTTCTCCTATTTTTCTTAAGGTCCTATTAGGTGCCAGAGATCTTTAGTTGGATCAACAAAATAAATATCCTACAATCCCCGCCTGCAGGGAACTCTCCACTAGCAGAGGACACAGACTTACAAATGGCAGTTCTTAGTATATAGTGCGCCTCGTGCAGGGACCAAGGCGCCCGCTTCATTGAGCGAGGTCACATCTGCCCTTGAAAAAACCCTTTGGAAGGCGCCGTCTCCCCCTGATTCCAACACAAGAGGTCCAGCTTGCAGTTGGGGAATCAGTGGATCTTTTTTTTTTTTTAATATTTATTTTTTAGGTGTAGATGGACACAACACAATGCCTTTATTTTTATGTGGTGCTGGGGATCGAACCCGGGTCCCGCCCGTGCTAGGGGAGCGCTCTACCACTGAGCCACAACCCCAGCCGAATCTGTGGATCTTAATTGAGAGTTTTCATGTTAGTGACACCGACTTGGGGGAATCGTGCTGCATGGATTTCTCTTTGAATGCCAGAGCCGTGCTTTCTGAGAGACAAGGAGCTCATGCTGCAAGAGTTCCTGCTCACCTGGGGCTCCGCTCTCTCTGGGTGGGAAGGCCAGTTGGTTATGTTGGGTTCTCTGGAAGCACAGCCTATGACAGGGATGGGGACATGGGTTAGTTTCCTGGGCACGAATCCGTGTCTCTTAACACTCCAGAAATGTATTGTCTCGGAGTCCTGGAGGCTCATCCTCCAAGATGGAGGCACTGGTACAGCCAGACTCCCCCGCAGCCTGCCACGGTCTTTCCCTCCGGCTCCCTCCTGGCTTCTGGTTTGTGGGTGCTTCTCAACCTGTTCTGGCTCCCAGCTGCATTTCTCTGTTCTCTGTCTTGGCTCTCAACGGCCAGCTTCTCCCCGGGTGTGTCTCCCAGGACACCTGTCATGTGGATTAGGACCAGCTCTGCTCCAGTGTGACCTCATCCTAGATAAAGTCATCATAGGTGCCCCTGAACTTAAGACAGGGTCACATCCCAGCTAGCCCATCCTGAGTCCCAAGTGCAGTTCATGCCCCTGGATCTGTTGCACACGAGTTTGGCTGGGCCGGGTTTAAATGCCCACAGAACGCTTGGATCAGTCTACGCGGGGCAAGACCGTCTAGTGCAAGTTCTGCTTTACAACCAAGCATTGCCTAGTGTGTTGAACTCTACTGAGAATGGAAACCAGTGTTTTTATGGGCTCCCTTCCACACCATAATAAAGTCAAAACATCGTAAGTCAAGCCACTGTGAGTTGGGGGTCTTCTATATGTCGGCAATGACCTTATTTCCAAAGATCACATTCTGAGGTACTAGCAGTTAGGACTTCAGAATGTCTTTCCAGGGGACATAATTCATTCCATAAATAGGGTGCATGAGAGAGTCCTTCTAGATAAGGGTTCACAGCCAAGCACTGCATGGTCTCCTGCCAAACCCAGAGCGGGGCTGGCCCATGGCGGGAAGGGGACTCTCCATCATAAACTCATCATGAACTCACTCTGCACAGTTGCTCCCTCTCTAGGGACAGCTAGAGCCAGGGAGCTAGCCTTTTGCACCCCAGTATCAGCCAGTCATTGGCTATGAGCCAGACTGGGAAACTTGATTCTTGCCAAAGCTCTAGAACAGCGATTCTGAGCCAGGGACAACTTGGGGAACATTTTGGGTCTGGTGGGTGGGAGATGCTACTGGCATCTCGTGCATAGAGACCAGGAATACCGCAAAGTTGCCCAGGATGGTCCCCACGGCGCAGTTGTCCAGCCCGTACCGACAGGAGTGCTGCAGACTGCCATGCGGGAAGGCAGAGGGCATGCTGGGAGCCGAGTCCTAGCCCACACTTGGAGTGGAGGGAGAATCCTGGAGCAGAGGTTACAAGGACCCGGTTCCTGGTGCTGCTTAGTCTTTCGCACCATACAATGGAAAAGGAGAGACTGGCCCCAGACAAAAACCTCCATTTAGCAAAAGAGGCCAGCAGTGTAGACGAGAAACAGAATCCCCACACAGCACGTGAAGGCCACTACTGTGATTGGAGTTACTGGTTCTCACTGGAGGCCAGCATCTGCCTTCATCTGATTGCTTGGTGGTCAGTTCAACGGGAAGTTCCGGAGGACATAGCTGTGTCACAAGGTGTAATCAGAGCCACTTGATCCCTTGGTAATGGTGTACAGTGATTCTGAGTAACTCTAGGGGTCTAGTCCTGCCGTCTCTGCCCTGGGGAATCCCCATGGAGGATGAGCAGGGGACTCATCGGGCTGGTGTGTCGGCATTTTCTGGCTCATGGCCTGTGAGTGTTGTGGCTTTGGT